TATTTTTATTCCTACTTTTCACACTTAATGATTATATTTTCATCAATGAGTTATGATTTTTTTACTCTTTTCATCATCATCAATATTTGTGTCCGTATAAAATAATGTGCAGGTGCACTCCAAAAAAATGATCTCGCGTTGTGTATTGTTTGCTTTAAGGTTTGGTTTCTATTGCTTAAAGGTTTGGTTTCTATTGCTTTAAGGAAATACATATTAGGTTTGCCTTATGTGCAGTCTTAGAGGATACTCCTAGATTTCTGTCCATTTTGTGTTTGCAATTGCAGGATTGTTTTTTCCCCTTATAATTTTTCACTTTATAAGAGTGTATACTTTGCAAAAAAAAAATCTAAAATAAAAAATCTTAAAAACATGATAGTTCTAAACTTTTGTGGAAAAGCTATGTACTTGTATGCATTATAACCAACATCAAAATGTTCACTATTTAATGTCTTAGAGAAACAGCATGTTTATCAATTAGCAAACCTTCTAAACTGCAATGATTTTCTATTTCAAGGGTTTTGCTCTTCTTATTTATCATGTTTTAAAACAGACTTGTCTTGCTAGCACAAGATCAATGTGTTAAAGAACAGTAAAATATATATACCATTCTCCAACTCAATGATTAATTTAATACTTCTTCCATCTCTAAAAAAAACTTCCTGTTTCATTTTTTGCTCATCCCAAAAAACACTTCTACCACATCTAAAATATCTAAAATACCCCAAAACAACTTCTACCCGTAATAAAGGAGAAATATGGTGAATCTTAGACAAGATACGGATATAAATGTATTTAGGGATGTGCAAAAAATGAAACATGAAGTTATTTAGAGAAGACGAAGTACATTTCAGTAGAGTTATGTTTTGAACATAGCAACACAACTACTACTTTTCCCCCATCAACATTTGTTGGGTAGCTGTCATTCTTAGGTTGCCTTTATTAGACTTATTAAGGTATGCTGTTAGTTATTTGCATTTATCCTTTGTGTAAATCCTAATAAATTCTTTGATCTATTCAGTTTTCCCATGCTTATCATGCCACATATATCTCCCCATCACTCACTTATCCCAACTCTATGACGCTTAGCTGATGTAAGTTTTCTTTTTTATTTCTTTCATCCTCTTCTTTTTCATGTTAACTATTTTCTATGCTTCTATTCGTTCTCTGCATCTCTCTCTCATTTTGGTAAACTTACCTCTCCCTATTTTTTAGTTTTTTTCATCTTTTAACATCCTCCATTTCTTGTATTCATTGCTCATTTCTTGGTTTACATGAGTTGTGATGTTACTTATAAAACATGTAGGCAAATGGCATGGTAATCTTGAGGTACCGTGGAACAGGTTAGCCGAAGTTCATATTGCAAATTTTCCCATATCTAAATAAAGGTTGCAGATGAAAACCCAAAGTCTCTGCTGTTACATACTTCAGTGTCACCATACTTAGTTTCGGGTCTCAGCGCTGCACTTTTCTGCATTTTTGCATCATTATTATCAATGTAATAATCGATGAATCTGTTTGATGATGGTCTTCAATGGCATTCACTGGTATGGGGAGCTTTTCAATGTTGATGCTTTTATTATCCTTTTTTCTAGACTAAAAGTTCCTAGGGTTTCTGCTCAGCAGTTTAATTAATCTACTTTGCTTGATAATTTTTAGCTACCCTTGGGGTGTAAGAAATAGCCTTGCCTTTGAACTTTTCTTTATATTGTACTTCAATGATCTACTAAGCCAACCAACAACAACAAAACATGGTTGGCAGCTTGGCGCATGGTTAAGCTTGATAGGCTGATGTGGAGTACTCTATTTGACAACTTCTGGGCTACCAAGTGAACTCGAAGCAGATTCATTAGGTATTGAACCAAAAATTTGTATTAATAAATATCATATTTAAATCAAATCAAATAACATTATATTAAATACAAATAATGGCTAGCAATGATTGTGCTATTACACCAATATTTCTCAATTTAACTCTAATTAAATGTGGTGATAGCTTTTCTCCATTTTTAATCTTAATTTCCTAATTAATGATGTCCATTACTTCCTTTCAAACAACTCTCACATCCATATCAATTCATACATCCACAACTTCTTTCTTATCTACATACCACTCAAGCTTTATACAATGATAAAACACAAAATTTGCACATAAAATTATTGTGTGATTGCCATTAATTAGTTTATTCTATTCATGACAATTTTACAAAACTTACACCAAATTAATATATCTTGCGCTTATTTTTTCCATCACTATGCACGTAAAGTTTTTTTTAATTACATTCAGTAAAATGTGTGTTTTTGAATAATTATTCTGATCATCCATCGATCTATCTTGCAGGTAACTCTTCTACGTTAGAGGGAGAGAATGAACATCCTTGGTTTTGCTCTTTGTAGGACTATCCTTTTACGCTAGATGTGTGACCGCAATTGTCGGTTCAAGAACATGAACAGGACTGTATGAGCGGGGCACCACCCATAAGGTACTAGTACTATTTGTTCTGTACATATATTGGTTCTTTGGAGGGGATAATGCTTGTGATGGGGGGGGATCAATAGCAATTGACTGATTGCTTTTGTAATGTTACTAGAAAGAAATTAGGTCCGATTTGGTGGGGCCACAAGGGTACATTTCATACGGCACAGGAAGGGGTTGGTTCTAGTTACCTATAATTAGGTGTTAGGAATATTTGTTTGGTACATAAACTTGTTCTTTTTTGTTCTTCCTGGATTTTTATTAACTCGTTGCATACTGATCGTTGGTGAAATGCAGTGAAGCCGTTTTTAATGACTAGAAGTATGGGTGGACAAGGGCTAATTTTGGTTTTTGTACTGGTTCTAAAACTTTTTTTTATGTTTTCAAAAAAATGGAATGTGCTACATAAATTATAGTATTTTTGTAAAATAGTTACTATCTAAATATAGATTTTATTTGTAAAATAACTAATTAAATTTATTAAATGCCTAGTTAACTAAAGAATTTGGTTTCTTAACCAAACCTGGCACTTCTAAGAGCATCTCCATTCTTTAATTAAAAATTCATCCATTAAATCATTCTCTCTCATCTAAATCATCACCACATCACCTATCTTTAAGTTCTTTATTTTCTAAACAGACACCCACAACTTATCTTTAAATTTTTTATTCATATATTTTAAATAAGTCATACTCTGTATTATATTATGAAATAATATTTATTTTTTATTAGAATGTAATAAATGACATGTAAATTACAATAAATATTAAATTTAGTGAATTTATATTTAGAAGAATAAAATCAGAGAAGATAATTACAATTTGATTCACTAACTTGTTGGTTTGGGTAACGCGGATTTGGGTGTTACATTTTGGTATCAGATCGTGTGTTTTTAAAAATGCTTCTTGGCATAAAAAATGTTTACTTCCAAAAAAGAGAGAAAAAACAGCATCCACAATTTCGCGACATCACTTCTGCGCGAGGTAATTCTGAATCCTTATTGTTTGTTTATGTCATAATTGTTTGTTTCTTTGATATTTAGTTGATCGATTTATTAATCAAAATATTATGAAAAATATGTACAGTGAATCTTGAAAGTGAATCATAAAAAAGAAATTAGTCATAGATTCACAAACATTTTTTTATGATTAGTTCGATCATGTTATAAGAAAATAGACTGCGTCACGTGCCAACCAAGCACGTATGGGACCCAAAATAAATATTATTGAAGATAACTTTTGACGGGGTGATGCTAAACTTTTAAGTTGTAATTGACTTTTTCACAAAAAAAGGATGACAAATTGTAATAAGAGTTTGAAATCTAATTTGTTTGACTTTGTTATTAGGTGTTTACAATAAGCCTTTCAAAATCAAATTGGTAAAGATTTAAACATAAGTATCGTTGTAAAAAAATGAGTTTTTTGGAATTTAAGATCTCCAAAAAGGAAAAAATTGGTTAATTGATCAATGTAGTCTAGTAAATCAATTAAAAAAATGTTAAAAAAATTATATATACAAAAAGAAAATATAATCGTTTTCCTAATATTCAATTATCTTGTTGATCACTGAATGACGATCAAATTCAGAAAGGGTTGCAGGACCTGGATGAATGAGGGTGTTGTTTTGGTGTAAGGTGATAGTGAGAGTAAGAAGCAATGTGCAATAAAAATGTAACGTGACTATCTCAAAAAAAAATTGTTGTCAAGGAAAAAATTAAGTTAAACTATTTGGACATTTTAAAGTTCAAAATAAATAGCTTACTTTTGATTGGAGTAAAACAAAAAGATTTGGTGTAAGAAGAGCATAAATGCATAATGATTAAATTACCAAAACGTAGAAATAGAAAAGTATTTTGATCAACAATTGAGATTATCTCTTTTACAAAATAAAGATATATTAATATAATGTTAAAAAAATTGAAATGTATTTAATTCACACATTGTTCCTTGGAAGAATTTCGAGACCAAAATTCTTGTAAGGAGGAGAGAAATGTAACGTTCTGATATATATATTCTGGAATTTTATAACGAATTTTTAACAAAACGTCATTCTAATTTTTGTTTAAGTTAAATAAAAAAACATAAACGTGAGTATTAAAAATAAATACTTTTCAAAGTTGACTTTTTATGAAAAAATTTATACTCGAACTAAAGGTCTCGACGAGATGAATTCAACGACGTCTTCCGCGTGTGAATTTGAGTTACAAAACTTAGTGACCCTCCCAAGATTTAAAAAGATTAGTAAATAGATAATATACAAGTATGACGTAGAGATAATATTATCTAATGAAGTTTAGGTTTTGGATTGGTCTCGTGGAAAGATGACCAATGACATACTCTTTTCCATGTTTAGAATTATGTGTAAAAAGTCTTTAGTAAAATAGACTTTACAGTTCAATAAATAAATAATTTTTGTTTAAAAATATAATAAATGGTAAAAACCGTATACTCCAATTTACCTCATCGAATCGCATTCGTCCTTCTTGGCTGTGCAACGGGATCGGACGGGAGGAGACTTTGCTAGAACTTCTATATCAGTTAATTTATGAATTCTCCGTCAATAAAGTCAAGGTGAATGGTGGTATCTCTCCTTAGAACTAATTCGTAGATTTGTATTCGTTGGTATATTCTCGTCCCCTATATTGTTTTTCTTCCTTTTTCTTGCATTCTGTGTGGTGTCTTGTTTTTTTTTGAAACGAAAATGCTATGTATAAATCACCAAACACAACGAGTATTACACAATCTCCCACATCATTTGTCACCACTTCCTCTACCCACCCTTAAAACTACTAAAGCATACAGAACAATGATATTTAATGGTTCCAACTATCTCCTCAACTTGAATCTCTTTATCATGCCTTTTCCAATTCCTAGCCCTCCATATATAGTAGCACGTTGTGGCCCATCCCACTAGCACTTCCTTCCTTTTCTTCCTGGGAGTGTTCTTCGTTATGCCCTTTGCCATCTCTACTATATCTTCCCCTTCCAGTTTTGTCTGCATCCATTCAGCTATATGGCCTAACACTTCCTTGGCTAACTCACACCTGCAAAGCAGATGAGAAATGTCCTCTTCCCCATTTTGGCAAAAGAAACAAGTTGTGTCCACCTCCATAACTCGCGCCAGTCTAACTTTTGTTTGTATACGCCCACGCATAATTAGCCACATTATAAACTGGCACTTTTGCAGTGTTACCCTGTTCCACACCCAGTCTGTCCAAGTTGGTTTGGGATGTTCGCCTAGAAGCCATTCATAACCCTGTTGTGTTGTGTACCTTTCCCCTCTAGGCATACTGGCAAACAGATTCCTGACTTCCATCATTTGAGTCCAAGAGTTACAACAGTTAGGCCTAGGGGTGTATTCCCAGTAGTTTTCATTTTTGATGTATCTTGTGTGGATCCATTGTACCCAGAGTATGTCTTTCTTATTGTGGATATCCCAATTCAGTTTCATGATTGAGGCCTTGTTCCATAGGACCATGTTCCTCAACCCTAGCCCGCCACATCTCTTAGGCAGACAAGTTTCTTCCCAGCTCACTAATGGGACCTTACTGTATTTTGCTTTTGAGTTCCAGAGGAAATTTCTGCATATTGCCTGGATAGTCTTCATCACCTTAGATGGGATTAGGAAAATCCTAGCCCAGAAGGTAATTATCCCCATGAGCACAGTATTAATTAACCTAACCCTACCTGCATATGTAAGGTGCTTAGAGCTCCACGTGGTTATTTTGGCACAAATTTTCTCCACCAGCTTGTCACAATCCTGGATTGATAGCCTTGATGATGAGATGGGGCATCCCAGGTATGTGAAAGGAAGTTTTCCTTTATTCATCTGTGTGATACTAATAATCTCCTTTTCCAGATCCTCCTTACAGCCTCCAAACACAATAGAAGATTTCTCCTTGTTAATTTGAAGTCTTGTACACTTGTTGAATCTTTCCAGCACCTCCATGATAACTTTAACAGATTTAAGATCAGCTTTGCAGCCCACTATTAAGTCATCAGCAAATATTAGGTTTGTCACCTTCAGGGACGCACACATAGGATGGTAACCAAACTTGGAAATTTTGGTAGAGTAGCTGAACAGGCGAGTAAGGTACTCCATAACCAGAACAAATAATAAGGGTGAAATAGGGTCCCCCTGTCTGAGTCCATTTTTCCCCTTAAAATACCCATGAAGCTCGCCATTAATTACTAGGCTATATGAGGGGGTTGTTACACAGATCATCACCCATTTGACAAACTGTTCAGGAAATTTCATATGAGCTAATATCCCTCTCACTGCTTCCCAACGAACCGAGTCATAAGCTTTCCTAATATCCAACTTCAGGAGGCATCTAGGGGAGATGTTTTTCCTGCCATATCCTCTAGCCAGTTCTTGACACAAAAGAACATTATGAAGTAGTTCCCTGCCCTCCACGAATGCCCCTTGGTTCCAGTTTACCAACTCTTTTAGTACTCCTATTAATCTACTATACAAATTATTTTGGATATGACCTTATAGATAACATTACAGCTGGCTATAGGCCTGTAGTCAGACACAGATTTTGGATCTTTCTTTTTTGGGATGATCACCAAATGGGTAGCATTAACCTGATTCAGTGTTTTGTCCCTTTGGAAAAATTCCATCACTGCCTCTGTCACCAAAGTTCCCACCACATGCCATTGCTTTTTGAAGAAACCACTTCCAAATCCATCTGGGCCAGGGCTCTTTGTACTAGGGATCCCAAAAATGATTTCCTTGATCTGCTGAGGGTTTATAGGTTTAATCAGCATCATCTGTGTGGTGTCTTGTTGTCACTGTTATTCTTCTTTGATGGAGTGTAGGGGATATCAAAGATAACGCAGATCAAATTGAGAGTCGTGTAGTACTCAATCGGATAAAACTCAAATTTTGTGACAAGAACGAGTATGAACTGGTATGAATTTTTTCGAACTCACTTTGCGACCATGGATTTGCCGAATTCTTATAGAGACGGAAGGATGAATTTAAGATGCGGTCATGTCTTTTTAAATTTGCGTAGTCGTGTGAAACAATAGAAAAATGTACGCAAATTTCTAAAAATTTTTTTAAAGATAAAATCAAAAATTTAAATTTCAAATCAATTTTTAACACAACAGCTTAATCTTGCTCGTGGGCGCTGCCCTTGAACCCCAGCCAAGGGGGCTTTGCCCCTTTGAGCCTAAGTTAAAATAGGATTTTATCATAACAAGTTCAATGAAGCGTGCACTTGGACTACTAAACTTCTTTGTTTTTGAACAAAATGCACAAATATTGTTCAACAACCATTCAGTACAAACTACAAAGTCTTACCACCCTCTTTTGGCCCCTGCCAGCCCCCTACTCTTATCATTTATATTTTGGTTTTACAAAGGTAATAACATGATACTTAACATATTCAAAGCTATCTACTGCATTCCATCTCTTCTTTCCATGGATTATGTTGTTTCTGGCCTTCCATATAGTATAGATACACACTGCCACCAAAGCTGCTCTCCTTTCTGTTGCTTCCCAACATAATTTTGTCTTCCATCTCCTTTATGTTGCAAGCTGTAAGATCAGTTCCAGCCCATTTGGAAACCATTTGCAGTATCTCTGAAGCATACTCACAAGAACAGAATAAGTGGTCTATACATTCTTCATTGTTATCACATAGACAGCAAGTAGTATCTATCTGTATAAACATACTCAATCTGGATTTGGTTTGTATTCTCCCCTTCCATATCAGCCACATAATTATCTGGTGCTTGGGAAGAGACCAGTTGTTCCAAACTAGGTTTGCCCACTTTACACTCTCCTTGTTTCCCATTAGCCATGAATACCCCTTTGTAGTGTTGTACTCTCCCTTCATGGACATGTTAGTGAATTCATCTCTTACTTTAAGCATTTTCCTCCGGTAATAACATACACCCCCTTTGGGATTGTACTGCCACACCGTCTTTTGCTTCTGATATCTTCCATGGACCCACCTGACCCACAAGATATCCTTTCTGTTTGCTACATCTCATAGCAGCTTCATGACATCGGCTTTATTCCAGTTAACCAGATTCTTCAGTCCAATTCCTCCATAAGAAGTTCCTACAAATATCTTAGATCCTCTTCATCACCTTATTGGGTATGATAAAGAGTCTGGTCCAGAAGAAAATAACCCCATACAGAACATAATTGATCAATCTAGCTCTACCTGCATTCGATAAGTGTTTTGTAGCCCATGAGTTTACCTTGCAAGTGATCTTTTCCACCAGAGCATCACACTCACTCTGTCCAATTCTAGATGCTGTTATGGGCCCTCCAAGATATCTGAATGGAAAGTCCCCCTTAGGTATTTTGGTGAGCTCTAGTAGCCTTCTTTCAGTTTCCTCCTTTAACCCTCCAGTTACTATTTGTGACTTGGCTTGGTTGATGTGCAGTCCAGTTGTCAAGGAGAAGTGTTTTAAAGCTTTGAGTATACAGTCCACTAATTTTTCATCTGCTTTACTCACAACAATTAAGTCATCAGCAAACACCAAATTAACAAGTTTATAGCTTTTACACATTGGGTGGTAGGTGAAGGAGTTATTATCAGTATAGTAGTGCGAAACCCTTGTTAGATAATCCATGATAATCACAAACAATAGTGGTGATACAGGATCCCCTTGCCTTAGCCCTTTTTCTCCCTTGAAAAAACCAAATATATCACCATTCAATTGTATGGAATAAGCTGTATTGGTTACACAGAATTTGATCCAATTCATGAATATGGGAGGGAATTTCATAGCTGCCATAATCTGCAGAATTTCTTTCCAACTTACAGAATCATATGCCTTTTGAATGTCCAGTTTCATCATGCACCTGGGTGATATGTCCTTCCTTTTATATCCTCTTGCCAATTCCTGACACATAAGGACATCATGTACTAGGTCTCTCCCTTCTATGAAAGCACCCTGGTTGGAATCAATGATTGTTTGCAAAACCTTCCTAAGTCTACTGCATATGATTTTAGAGATGATCTTGTACACCACATTGCAGCCAAAAATAGGTCTGTAGTCCATAGGATTACTAGGGCTTTCAGTTTTGGGTATGACTGTGATATTTGTGTTGTTGATCTCCTTAAGGGTTTCCCCTGTTTGAAAGAAATCCAGACCTGCCTGGGTAACATCTTCTCCCACTACATCCCATTGGTGTTTGAAAAACCCACTACTAAACCCATCTGGTCCAAGACTTTTACAGTTGGGTATTTCAAACATAAATTGCTTCACCAAGGCTGGGTTAATTGGGGCTATCAGCTCTAGTTGTTGTTCCACATTAAGCACCTTTCCCCTATTTATAATATCTCATTGAATGTTTTCAGTCCATTGGGTAGAGCCTAACAAACCCTGATAATATTGTAGGATGGCTTCTGCTACTGCCTCTTTGCATTCCACAATCTTTCCTTCCAGGTTTTTAACAGATGTGGTGGTATTTTTGTTTTGCCTTTTCCTTATCCAGGCAAAGAAAATTCTTGAGTTCTGATCCCCCTCCAGAATCCATTCCTGTTTAGCTTGCTGGCATTTCATTAAGTATCCAGCCCTCAAGCTCTAATTTAGTTCCTTGATCAGCTCTTTTTCCTTAGCAAATAGATCCTCCCTATCATGATCCTTTTTTATTGCCTCTTGAATACTGAAAAGCTCATCCCTAAGGATCTCACATTTATTATGTATATTGCTGAACCTGTCCTTATTCATCTTCTTAAGCCTCCACTTTAGATCCTTTTGTTTTTGTAGTAGTATATACATGGGTCTGCCATGCCTCTCCTTATTCCACACTTCACTTACAATTTTGGGGAAATTAGGACTGATAGTCCACATCTATGTTGTACGGAAACTTCATATAGGTTGTCGTCTCCGTTTCGGAAACCTAGGACACGCGGAAATGCGTGGGAGACGCCTGGAGACATCTCAGAAACTCCACATGGCGTTTCTTGAATTTTAATTTAAAAAAAATGATGGGAGACGTTGGGGAGACGCCGGGGAAACACGTCTCCCTTTTCCGAAACGGATTGGACACAGATCGAAAGAGGAAAAAGACGGAGAAAGAAGAAGAGAAGAGTCGTTGACCCGCGGTTGCACCTGAATCGATAGTCTCCCTTCTCTTTCCTCTGCGATTCCTATGCAAATTGCTAGGGTTTTTTCTTTTTTTCTGTACTCCCTATTATATATGGTTAGGCTTATTTTTCAGATCTAATTCATGGGCTTCTTTCCCAATTGACACACATGGCCCAAATAAAAGACTTAACT